TTCCATGGTGCAACATTGAAATTCCTGATTTTGCAATCTGGCCAATACACTGTAGAATAAACTTTAGCCAAATGTCATCAACATATCACACCAGCCTTTAGAGGCCAAATACTATTCAGCTTTCAAAGAAGGACAGATAAAATTTTGAAATATTTTTATACATGGATAAATTGTTGATGCTTTGATAGCAACAGGCTCAAAAAGAATATTAAAAGAAATCTGTTAGCATGCTACAGATGCTTTCCAAACTCTAAAATGTAAAATTTCACTATTTGCTTCTTGAGAAGCATTGCCTTAACTTATAAAAATAGTAAGTTTTCAGACCACTATTTGTAAGATAATAGATTCATTTCTGTTCAGAAATAAATGTATTATCCCACAAATAGCTGTCTCAAAACTTCATATCAAATGTAAAAGCTAGCACAAAAATTTAAGGGAAAAAGTATTTTTCCAAAATTTCATTTAACTTCGGAACTGCAATATATAGCATGAAATAGGTCTGTTTGGCTTGGTACAAATAAAATAACATTTAGTTACAAAAAAAGGGGTCTTTTGGTCCATCAAGGCTGTACCATCTAAACTAAACTTTAAAAAAAACTCCAACAGTGAAGGTTGATACCTTTTTTTCTGATGTCAACAATGTTTTTTTTTTCAGTATTATGACCATATCTATTAATAAGTACGATAGGTGTTGGCTTCACTGCAGTAATTTGTGACAAGAAAATGAAGAGAAACATAATCTATATATTTGACAAATTGATGGCAAAACCCACTATGAGACTAATAAGGTTTAGAAATAGCTTTAATGGATAACCAGGAAACCTTTATTACAAGTTTAACTCGGTAGCAAATGTATAAGATTTCAACAAGGTTTTTCATCATCAGGTACAAGTATTTTTCTGAGACTCAGGAGTGTATATACAGTATGAAATGAAAAGATCACATGACTGTAGTTTGCTTGTAATGGTTAAGTTAATGTATCATGACACCCGAGGATGCTGGTTTAGATCAAGACTCAAAAACAAAATTGATACTATTGTTTGTTTGTAATTATGCACAAAGCTACACAATGGGCTATCTGTGCTCTGCCCACCACGGGTATCAAAACCCAGTTTCTAGCATTGGATACTACTGAAACAACCAATAAAAAGAACTTACCATTAAATATAAAACTCCTGTCAGGTTGAAATTCACTCAGAAAATGGGCCCAAAATTAAAATCCCTACTAAGTGAAAATTATGTATAATCACACATAACAATGTGTAATAAATGCCTACAGTTTTATATCTGAGAAACTGGAAGAAAATTGGAAACTAGGTCCAATAATAAACAAACAAAAATAATGATATCATATTTTTAAACATGGTATATCTACTGAAAAAACTAATTTTATAAGATGGCAGCTATACAGTAAACCAACTATTTACTAAACATGGTCATCTGCAGAATTTTTTTTTTGGTGGGGGGGGGGGGGGAGCAAGGTATGAAGTTGTGAAGTGAATAAAAATAATGAATAAAGAAAGAATTTTGTGTTATCATTTTTCTGGTGGGGGCAAGTGCCCCCCTCCCTGCATATGCCTGTGTTACTATGTATTTACTTTGACAATTGTGCTCTAAATTTAAAAGATTATTCTGAATGTCTGCTGTTTGTTGTTTTGATTTTAATTTTACAATATATTTCTTTAGCTACTAGGTTTAGCTCAACGTATACTTGGGAAAAGATTATTCCAGTTGTTAATGAAGCTGACATTTTATGGACATTTTGTTGCTGGAAAAGATGCACAGGATATCAAACCAACCATAGAATGTCTTGGATCATTTGGAGTAAAGTCCATATTGGATTATAGTGCAGAAGAAGACCTAAGTGAGGAGGAAGCAAAGGAAGCTGAAATGGCGTAAGTAACTTATTCTTTCTTTTAATTTATTTCTGCAGTAAAAGCAGAAAGAGTTCCATATGGCACCCCACCCAAAAATTGTAGAATTGCCTGGATAAAAAAGATTCTGAAAAGGGTTTATTTTAAGGGGCGTATTAGAAAAATTGGGGCATGGCTTTGACAAGCATTTGTGTGAATACATGTGGAGAACATTATATTCTGATAAAAGTAACCTTTTTGATGCCTTTATACAAGACATTTGTAAAGTTTATTCCCAAGAAGATTGTACATCTAATTAATGAAGTAAGTGGTATAATAATGTATTAAAATTATCAGATCATACTATTAATATGATTTATTAATACATAAATATTACTTTGACGAATTTTTTTTTAAATTGAGTGGGGGTGCCATATGGAACTCTTACCGTAAAAGCTTTACTAGATTTATTTCATGCACTTGTCTTAAAAAAACTTGGAACTACTAAATTTTATAATACATGAGTTTCAAGGTGTGTTTTTATAAAGCCCATGTCTACTTTTTTTTTGTTTATTTGTTTGTATTCAATTTTTTAGATAAATCTTCCTTAGTTGCAATTTAATAAATGATAACCTACTTCAAATAGAGGGCACCAACAATACTGAGAACAAGAAGTAGCCTAACCTTCAGGTTTGAAAATGTTCATATTTGTTTAGGCATTTTACACTCTCATGTCTGTTTTATATAATCTGATATATACACACACACAATGTATAATTTATAATAAAAAAAAAACATCATAGGCTTATAGAACTGAGTTAAAGACGTGTTTTTAAATTGAGAAAAGTATTGTTACAGTAGTAAATATATCTGTTCCAATTTACATTTGTTCACTTCTCTGACCTTTGGGTTTAAAGTACGTTCTGGCTGTGATCACAGAATAGCTAGATGTTCGGCTAAGCAAAGCATATGTATAATTGAGTAACTTCAATAAACTTTGCAAAAAATGAAATTAGGAGTAGAAAAGTATGAATGATATCACCATATGCATAAGGGAGGGGTTATTGTAGATAGTAATATGCATTGCAGAGGGAAACTTATCTGAGTAATATATATCTGTCCTCGCTCAGAGTCCTATTTTGGACAAAATTGTTTATGTATAAAGGTTTTTTTATGTAAATGTTTATTTGTTTTTTTTTTATAGACACTTAGAGTACCAATACCATCAACCAAATAATCTACAGCTTATTAGACAATATCAGCAAAATAAATCCTGCATTTGCAGTGGTTTTGGGCCACTAAATTTTGAAGATGCTAAATCTTGATTTATTTTCAGAGTATAACGTTTGAAAATGATAAGTTGCTTTATCTAGCATGAGACGATTGCCAAGATATCTTTTGTCCTAATTGAGCAAATTGTCTTAAATTGTTATGTTCATGATGTGATTTGTAGTGACATTTTGCACTAGGGACTTTTTACTTTGCATCCTTTGATTTTCTTGGATGTTTTAATTCACTTTTGTGCCGTGTTTTAAGTATTATTGTGCTTAATGTGGAAGTAAAGATTTTGAAGTTTAATGCGGTTATATTTTACTTTTTAAATGAATAAAATAGAAAATAATGTATCATGGAAAATAGTGCACTTTATAAATTAACAATGTTTTGTTTTTAAAAAATACATCAATAATTAAACAGTCACTCTTAGATTGTTTAAAATGTTTCCTTTTTTTTTTAGGTCTTGTATATCAGCTGCAGATGAGACCAAAAGCAAAGGTAAAAAAAACGTTTTTTCAACTTATGGGAAATATTAACATACTCACAATTTAAAGAAGCCTGAAAGAACCTTACATGATGAATTTGATATGTTTTTTTTTAATAAACTTTCTCATTACTTTATGCAGTTGAAGTAAAGGCATATAACTGGCAAGAATTAAACACTCTTGGCATTTTCTGTGAACCAAATTGTGTAAAATACTTGTTTATATGTGATGGATTAAATCATTCATATACACATCATTGAAGTATATTCACATAATTTTATATTACGATGTTCCATTTTAATTTTTTTTTACATAGTGTAATCTTACTTTACATTTGAAGTATAAATATGTGGTTCTCTCATAAATTTCTTAATTTTTAAGTAATAATTTATACCAATGTATTTATATATTGTATAAATATACTGTATATTTAATGTAAGAAGACAGAAAATAATTGATTATTCAATCAGAGAATGTAATTAGAGTTTAAGATACCTTATTAGCCATTAAATTCCTAATCAAAATCCCCCCCCCCCAAATTAAATTGGTAATTTTACCACAAGTTTTTATATTATCTGTACATCAGTGACTAAATCTGTTGCATGCAAAATTGTAATAAGTTAATACTGCAATAGCAGTGGCCCTATCTGCCAAAATACCCAAATAATCTGTTGTATAAAACCATTTTTTGTACTTTTCTGAAAACTAGTTCATATATAATATGAAAAATCAAGTTGAAGTACTGTAACAGTACTTTTTCACTGAGGGGAACACTTTAACTCTACTGAGACAGATCTTCCTATCGTCATGGGTCAAAGGCCATGTCATAATGTTTGTAGACTCGCATTAAAAATTTCATTGAACTGCTATTTTATGTCAATAAGTTTGGTATCGAATTGTAGATTATAATTCAAATTTTAGTATTATACTTTAGTTAATTTCATAATTTAAAAGTAAATACTAAAACATAAACCTAAATATCAATTTCTGTGTGTTACATGGTATGTTGAATGCAGCATTGGTTCAAATTACATGTTTGTGATCTCTAAATACAAAGTCTGTGGTATCTTATGAATAAGATACCCAAATTACTTATATGGACAAGCTAGAATATAAGATAAGAACCTCCTATCTTTTCTGTTTTCTGAGATATTAATATATTTATTGAATCAACCAAAGTATCCCCACCCACATCTTCCATTTTTGAAAATACTTGCTTATATACACCTATTTCGCCAAATGATGTGTGTGTGTGTGTGTGTATATAACCAGTCAATAGCTCAGAATAACCACCTAATGGTTTGTTTACCCTCTGTATTTGTACAGGAAACTCTTCTTTTCACACTAGATTCCAAGTGTTAAGGTATGACCTTAGCGAGCTCGTAAAATAATATTTTTTTAGAATCAAATACAGCTTAGTTACTAAGCTTGATAAATTATAGTAGAATTCTATGGTATTGATATAGTAATTTATGATTTTTTTGTTATTTCAAAATGCATTTATAAAACCTTAACAAATTATTTTGTTTCACATCCTCCACATACAAAACTTGATAAGACTTAACGACTTGTGGCAAGCAGCGAATGAGTACAAAGTTTGTGACTAGAAGAGAGAATTATTTTCTATACTTCTTTATCTACTGTTCTATGTTTTAACAAAAATAATTGAAATTTAAGAACTTATTTGTAAATAGTAATAATGTATATACATGTATAATGTATTATAAAGGAACTGTGATTGTGTTTTATAAAATACTGGTACACTAGAACATAGCCAAGACAGGTCACTTTGTAAAAGCCAGTTTTATATTCTTGGATACAGTAACATGAGTGCACGTGCAACTCGTCATTGCACCTTCGGTAATGTTAGTCGGGCATGGCTGGAAGGTCAATAAAATAATAAATATATATAGATGTATAACGTTATGAGATTTAAGCTACTTAATCAAAACAAAGTATAATTCATATCTATTTCCTAATTTTTTGTGATGGTTACAGAGTTGGTCAAATCGACCAAACCCGTACAGAGATACAATAGTGAAATTGACAGATAAAAAAAGTTTGATAATTATGTGGAAGTTATAAAGATTTTGCATGTGAAATTTTAAAATTTTCTTATGCATAAAATTATTTTTAATCTTAAAATCAAAATTATTTTGCATTTTAAATAGTTAAAATTCGAAAAAAAATGCATGAGAAATACATATCATAAAAGGACGTGAAACTTAATAAAAAAAAACCTGATATTTTGCATATGAAAGCCTTATAATCTACAAACTTTTATGAAGATATGGTTACTTTATTTAAAGTATAGCATGAAAACTATAACAAGCACAAAATAGTTACGAAGTTGGTCTGTGGGACCAATCCCGCACTGGGAGAGTTAAAACAAGACACCCCATAGTTTTTACAGATCATTAGTTTATACTTCACCCAGGGCCTACCAGCACAGTTGAAAGCATAAGGGCTTATCAAACAAACTTAAATTATTTAGTAAAATACAATTATAACTTTTCTTTTTTTTTGTCATTTATACTTCCATTCCCGAAGATGAAAAATACTTC